GTAGTTAATGCTGCTCAATGTGAAAGCCCGCAGGTGATGGAGATTTACCGCTGATTACAGAACCGGCTTCACTGATAAGATGCGCGTTAAATATCACATGCGATTTATCGTGCAGCCCTAATCCAAACCGTGTGGCGGAGGCGCGGAGAGCTCGCGAGCCTAAGCATTGCCACGACTAACCGATTCATGATTTATTAGAGATTTAATAGTTACTCCCCAACACTGATCGTGACGATGGGTAAATACATGCTGTTTATCCATTTGACCTGACACCTTCAATGAAGATATGGAAGGAGCAATGTGTGTGGGATGAAGAAAGACTCCCATCACAGGTAAAGATTCAGAGCAACTATAACAACTATTACAAACGGTTTGTTTTACTAAGGAGCAGAGAAGCATGACTTCTGTGAATAATCACTGAGTGACTGACTTAAAAGGTCAATTCAAGTTCAATTCGTTCCTTTCCAATTATAGACCTTAGTCAAAGTAGACGTCATGTTCAATTAGGCACAAATGAAAATGAGAGTTTCCAGGACAGAAGTCTGTCTTAATTATTGATTTGTTTCTTACAAACAAGCAGGTTTTTACTTCACAAGACATTAACTGATGGACAGGAGTCGTGTGGATTACTTGTGGATTATTGTGATGTTTCTATCAGCTGTTTGGACTCTCATTCTGACGGCACCCATTCACTGCAGAGGAACAATTGGTGTGCAAGTGATGTAATGCTACATTTCTCCAAATCTGTTCTGATGATGAAACAAACTGCATCTTGGTGTGTAAAGTTTGAGCAAATTTTCATTTTTGGGTGAACTATTCCTTTAAGACAGTCGACAAAGATATCTCTTGGCCTTGTTTTCATTTGCTTAAATGTAGGATCATAAGCCATTTCAAAATGTTACACTCTGAATGTCTTAACACTTTTAATGCATGGTATATTTTCATAAAGAAGCTCCCTAATCGAATAGCATGACACTGCACTATTCAGACAACCATTACAACAATGTTAACTGGAATCGACCGAGCGGGAGGTTTCAGACATGATGTTTCTTTCATGATGTTAACGTCTTTAACCACTGGATAATAATTATTAGAGCCGTTTTTCTCTGGATTCACAGGTTAAGTATAAATCAATAAACCTATAATCACAGATCAGTGTGTTTCAATAAAACAGACTCTGATCAGTCGATATGCGGTTCCAGCCACGCAAAAATACTTAATACAGCAAGAGTTATGAAACTCTATGAAGGTTTGGGATCGGTAAGATTTTGTAATGTTTATGATGCATTTATTTGAACAAAACAATACAGTAAAAAACAGTAAAATTGTGAAATATTATTACAATTTAAAATAACTGCTTTCTATTTGAATATGCTGTAAATTAAAATATAATTTATTCCTTGACAAACCCCAAACTTTTAAAAGGAAGTGCCATTAAAAAAAAATGAAGTTACTGTACCTGACAAAACATTTATAAAGAAACACTTTGCCTAATTTGCCTAACAATGCCTTTTTTCCATGAATATATTCACAACACAGCACAAACTCTCTGACCTCATTGCTTAATAGTTCACAGTTATGAGTCACCTGTGAAAGACCGGAGGACACGTCTGTAGAGGTTATGATGGTGAAGGCCAACCTCTGACATCTGAGCTCTCAGTGGGGTGCTTCAGTCACGCTGGATGAGCCAGAGCCGAGGCTGGTGAGAGCCGCTGTGACTGCGTGTGTGTGGCGGCAGAATCTCTCTGGGCATCTAGGGTCACTAATAAGGAGATGTTTATGCAGAGAGTGTCAGAATCTTGGTGTCTTTTCCCCCCTTTCCTTCCCTTCTCTGTTTTCAATTATTTACAATTTTTGAGAAGGAGAAAGGAAGAGGGAAAAAAATAAGAAGAAATAAGTAGTCAAGCTTTTGGACGTTTCTCGATGCCGTACTGCACTTTTCTCAGAAACATCATGCATATTTAAAGTTAATAAAGCCTATTCCTTACCTTTTATCCAGACTTTTTAATGCTGTGCAAGAGAGGAGGAACTGGGAACATCAGAGTGCTACTCAGAGGCATCAGCTGTGTCCTCAGGTTCAGTGTGACGAACCAGACCACGTCCCTGAGGAAACCATGCACACATCATTATTATACTGATGACACAAAAACAGCATAAAATACTACAGCATTGCAACTCTAGAGATGCTTTTTGGCTCAGAGTGGACTGCTGATAATAGGCATCATGTTTAAGCTTTGGTGTCAATGAAAGCTTTTTGGCTTTCATACAGTATTTATGGAAGAGCAGATTGGCAAAGAAGAAAAACATGAACAGTTTAAACTTTAAGATTTAAGAAAGCTCTGTCAGAGCTGCAGTGCAATCACATTATTTATTTTTATTTGTCACTCTCTTCTATCTGTCTGAAAAAAGCATTCAAATAATTACCAATTAAAACAAAATTTACCATAAGAACTTTATCTAGGGGCCTAAATGTATTTTAGATGTATAAAATAAATCAAATAATATAACGTTTCATGTCTGCTAAGAAATGTATTAAAACATTATTTTAATAAATTCTACATTATTTTATTAATTTATCAAAAATCAATTTATTGCCAGTAAATGTTCTTAATTCACATATGGCAACTGGCAAGGATTTATCTTCTAGTTATACTGTAGATCCTGCCAATAGCTTAAATGAAATTAAAATAAATGTTAATATATTATACATTATTTTATTCATTTATCAAAATCAATTTATGGCCAGAAAATGTTCTTTATTCACCCATGGCAAGTGGCTGATTAAAAAGTACATTTATATACAGTAATTAGAGTTGCATTTAAAAAAGTATTTCGTCTTCCTGCTATTGTCTTCTAAAGACAACATTTACAGTCTAGTGGTACCAGTCCTATGAACAATTTGTCGTCACTTTGCATGTATGTGAACTTTGGTTGTACTATCGGCTCAAACATAGGCATTTCCACTGAGCAAAAAGGCAGCGGGTGGATTTGGTAGGGAGTCCGACGGAGATGGCCATAAATCAGGGCCGGCATGGCAGGATTCCGACAGGCTGCTATGGCTTTATCTGCTGAACAGCTTTCATCCTCCTCAACCCGTTTATGCATATCCACTGGATATCCCACCTCCACGGTGTCCAAAGCTCGGGCTCAAGGCCTCTCCAAACCCGCAGTCTTCCCAGAGATCCCTTCCCTGCTTAACTGATTCTGCTGGGGTGTCAAAAAAAGAGAAATATATATCTCATTATTTATTTAGGCAAGCTTTGATATGGGTGTTTTTAAAAAGGGTTAATACATACAGTATAAGGCTTAATCCCGTGGGGGGTGGGTTTAAAATTTCATGAACAACTATCCGAAAAATAAAAAGAAACAATTGCAAGTTTTGAAAAATTCAGCTTTTTAGATTTTTAAGTTGATTATGAACTGACTTACTGAACATGACATATGTTTGGAGGGAAGGGTTGAAAAATGAGAGGTCTTGATTATGTCATCTGAAAAGGAAAATTGTTTACGAGATGGATCAAATTACATTTTGCCAAAAGATTACAAAGATTATCTCTCTGCCAACCCATCTACTTCTATCTATCCATCCACCTACCTATCAAGCCATCCATACGCTGTCTACCTACCCATCTACTTCTATTCATCTATCTATCCATCTCTTCACCCATACCATCTATCCAACTATCCATTTCTACTCATCTATCTATCTACCAACCCATCTACTTCTATCCATTCATCCAACCATCCAGCCACCCATATTTAAAGTGAAAGTGAAAGTGACGTGACATGTGGCCAAGTATGGTGACCCATACTTGGAATTAGTGCTCTGCATTTAACCCATCCAAAGTGCACACACACAGCAGTGAACACACACCCAGAGCAGTGGGCAGCCATTTTTGCTGCGGTGCCCGGGGAGCAGTTGGGGGTTCGGTGCCTTGCTCAAGGGCACCTCAGTCGTGGTATTGAAGGTGGGAGAGAGCGCTGTACATCCACCTACAATCCCTGCCGGTACGAGACTCGAACTCGCAACATTTGGGTTACGAGTCCGGCTCTCTAACCATTAGGCCACGACTTCCCCAGTCTATGGAGGACGATTACCATATCTAAAGTATCTACCTACCCATCTACTTCTATTCATCTATCTATCTCTTCACCCATCAACCTACCATCTATCCAACTATCCATATCTACTCATCTACAGTATCTACCTACCCATTTACTTCAATTTATCCATCCATATCTACCCATTTATACTGTCTACATACTCATTTACTTCTATTCATCTATCCATCTCTTCACCCGTCTATCCATCCATCCATATATACACCCATCAATCCATCAATCCTATATAGTTTTCTTTTTCATCTAAACACCAATAGAGGAAATGTATTTCTTGGTCTCAATGGAAAACTACCATTGATTTCAGAGCTCTCAGACTCTCAGATCGGCCCACAGTATCCTGACGTAACATGCCTGTAATCACTAGCACAGAAAGGGGAAAAGGAGAGGAAGGTGGAAGCACAGGGACGGTGGCAGCCCGAGATGCTGGCGGAGCCGTGGAGAGCGAGCAGGGAAAGGCAGCAGGCTTCAGCCCCCAGCATATTCATAAATCAGCTCTTTCAGGAGCTGTCAGCCACTCCATAATGAGGGTTATTATTCAGCTCGGGTGTCAAAGTTACTATCAAAGGACCGTCTCTGGAAGGCCTTCTCACTCTGCTCCTTGTTAAATAAACAGCGGTGTACACAAAATGGCAAACAAGACGTGGGTCAACCTGATACAGAGCGGGGCCACGCGGGCCTCTGGAGTAATTTACCCTTCGGGAATAGCCGACTGGGGAGATGGATGATATCAGGCCTTTCAGAAAGATTAATGGTGAGAGAGGACAACAGAAAAGAAGAAGTGAGAGGAACTGAGATGTTGGAGAGGTAGAAGGAAAGATGGCATCACATCTAGAAAGGGGTAATAAAGTTTGTGTTCTGGATATTTTGGCCAAAAAACCCTAGTATGCATCCCTAATTACCAGCTTATCCATTTAACAAATTGGTGGTAAAAATAACTACCAACCACAAAAAACTCATTGTAAAAAAGGCTGCTCACCTATACGTCATATATTAAGGCATATAAAATGAAGTTAAACGAATAACGACTAAGCTATCAAAATTGCAGAGCTCCTTCAACTGACAGCAAAATTCCCCACATCACTTGAACTCTCATTGATAACAGTCTAATATTAACCCTCTAAGAATATATGCTTTAAAAAATTCATTCTCTTTATTACTTTGTTAATATCAGACAGTGGCCACGGAGCTGAGGGTAGTATTAATTTTGAATACTTGAAGGGGGCAGAGGAGACGAGGGGGCGAGAACTGAGCTGTATGGCAAATGAAAGGGCTAATCTCTGTTTAACATTAACAAGGGCTCCACACATCCAGAGAGGCGCAAGATTATAGCTCTCAACGTGGGACTCTGGGTTATGCCTGCACTGAAATACTTGACTGAATATTAAAAAATGAACTGCGTTTTCATACACAGCAGGTTATGGAGTAATGTACTATGAAATACTTGGGTAACTCTTCATAATATTATTTAATATAATATTTATTAGTCTCTGATTAGTCAATTATGTCATTCTGTGGTCAAATACGTTTGCATAATGATCACTAAACTGTGTAACTAACTACTGCTAGTTGTTTGTCTCTCATATCATATAACCATATTGATTCTTTTGAGATAAAATAATGTCAATAATTAACAAAATAAAATACTTCTCATAATAATAATTATACATTTCAAAATAAATTACACTTTTCAATAACATAACTGCAAATATACTTTATATAATAATAGTAATAACATAATAAATGATGAACAATTTTATAATTAGCATTTAAATATAAACTTGAAGACTTCTTAAAACTTCATATTTAAAATATCATGAAACAGATCTGACATTAAAAAAACAATTATCATTATACAAAAAATATGATTATTATTAGTACTCAAATTTAATAAACTTTATATTCTATAATTAGTATTTAGTATTATATTAATTAGGAAGAAAAAATAAGAATCATTTATAATCTCAAGAAACGGATCTGACACTAATTACATAATGTTGAATTATTTACTTTATGAAAGTGTCACAATACTGAAAATTCATTAAAAACAAACGAAAACAGACAATCACTATACCAAAAATATGATTATTATTATTATTACTCAAATAAGCTTTATATTCTATAATTTACATTTAAATATTAATTTGAAGGCTCCCCCCCCCAAAGATTTATATTTAAAATCTCATGAAACACAGATCTGACACTAATTGCATAATGTTGAATTACTTATTAATAAATTGTTTACTTGAAAAATGTTTCACAATACTGAAAACAGCTAATTCATTAAAAACAACAAAAACAATTTATAGTTTTAAAGCAGCAAAATGCAAGTCACAGAAATGGAGCACAAAATCCACTTTCTACACAGAGAAATGGTTTATAATATGATTATATTTAGTTGGCTTCTTGGGTGGTAAAATCAATTAAATCCCACATTGAGTAAATGAGAGGAAAGCACTGATAGCTGCAGGCCATTCCTCAAATTGTCATAATTACCACAGCCAGAGGGGTCACCATCACCGAGATCGTTCAAGGACAAAAAAGAGACTTCCCCAGGAGGAAGAGGAAGTGCTTTCCTCTTCTGTTTAAAGAGGAGAGCAACTCCAAACAGTCAGGAGTCATAATTTTCATCTCACCTACCTGAAGGCGACAGATTAATCGTTTACATCTGTGAGTTTTAGACAGGCCTTCATGCTGTGCGAAAAATCACCAACATACTCAATACCAATTAATGATTTTGTCATTTCGGTGCCGGGACACTGCGTGTTTGTCAAAGTATCTCTGCGACGGTAATTTGCGCCATCTGTTCTTGTAGTGAAGAAAGCTGAAATATGTGATGCGTTTAAGCTCAATAATGTGTCATGTGACTGGTGGGGCCGTGTCTGGTGGACATGAAGATATGTTGTCTTCCAGCCCGCGGGCTAACATTGAAGATGAGAAAAGACAGTACTTCAAGGCAAATATTGTCCCTGTAGAAAGCCTGCCAGAACCTATATGGCTCAGTGTATTGACAAATCTCTTGTGGACGGCACAGACATGGAGGTTTACAGCGCTAGTCTCTTTCAGTCGCTGTGAAGGGAAGGACTGAAGTCTTGAAAACAGGACACCGTCCCGGGGCGGCTTGGGGGAAGCCTGATGACACGTTGACTGACACCTTATGGGGCCGAAGGTAAAAACCGCGTGGAGGTAACAGCCTGTCTGTGAATTGAATTAAACCGCTGAAGATATGATAACCCGCATTCGATCCGGTTTAACATGGCCCACTTGTTTATTACGCACAAGAGGTTGAGGTTTAATTGCAGTGCTAAGGTGAGACTTTGGCCTGAAGATGGATGAGACAGAGCTAGACTCCTGCCATTGGAGACTGCAAAACAGACCAGAACCACCGGTGATGAATGACGAGTCAGAAGCTCTGTTTTACCAAAGGAAACCATCCTGTTGAAAAGATGACGGCCAACCTCTACAGCTTCCTAACTCCTCATCTACAATCTAAAAAATCTTCCAAAAGGGGTTTTTGCAGTGATGCCATAGAATAATCTTTCAGTGAACGGTTCTTAAATGAACCATTGATTTTCTTAGTGTGAAGAACATTTTAAAGGACCTTTTTCCACTATAAAGATTCCATGGATGTTCTTCATGGAACCTTAGATGCCAATAAAGAACCTTTATTTTTTCAGAGTGTAGGCTAAACAGTGGAAGTCAATAAGGATAAGTCAACGTTTAGTGTCAAAACATCTCAGCGGACAGAGAAGAAGAAAGGAAATGTGGTATCAGGGGAAGTAAGACGAAAAAAAAACCAAGTGGCACGTCTGCAAATTAGCTTTGACTGCTCAACAAGGAGCTTGTGTTGACAAGGTAGAGAGCTGATCTGATTTGCTGATACCAGCAAAGGAAAAAAAGTGAGACAAAACAAATCTAATCATCCCTTCCCATCAAGAGGAAATCGCTGCCTTCTTCTTTCCACAAAGACCCCCCTGGCTTAAATCAATTTCTAACAAACTTGATTCTGAGGTGGTAACGGGGGGAATCAACAGTACCTTTCAATTTAATTCAGTGCTGTGCTCTGGGAGA